TGGGTGGGGAGCAGGCTCTGGGTCGCCATGGCCGCCTCGACGCCCGGCTGGGGCGCCTCTCGCGCGGGGAGGATCGGGTGAAGCGGGGAGATCAGGGGGATCGAGGAGGATCAGGCGGAGCGTGTGGATCGGGCGGCGGTCGCGTCCCCACCCGGCGCCTTCACTGTGCGCCCGCGCGGGCCCCGCCGCCTCAGAGGCCGGCGAGCGGGAAGTGCCGGCCTTCGCCGCCCCTCCCGGGCCAGAGCCCTCGGCAGGGGGAGCCCGGGCACCGCCTGGATACGGCAGGAGAGCTACAGCCCCCTCCAGCGTCCGAGCTGCGCCCTGCGCGAGCGCCCCGCCCCGCTCCGCCCCGGAGGCAGGTGCGCGCAGAGGTGGCCCGCGGGCCGCGCCACCCCCGGGCGGTGCCTTACTTGGGCGTGTGGCCAGAGCCGGTCTCCGAGCTGCGCCACTGGGAAGACGCGATCGCAGGTCCCTTTGAAAAGCCAAATGCGGAGGGTCGGAGAGCTGCACCCCCGAGATGCCAGGGGCAGCTGGCGGGGGATTGGTGGCTCTGACGCCGCAGGTCGCTGTTTGAAGCCCCGCTTAGAGCTCCGACGCCGCGTGGAAAGCGGCTTTTTGCAGGGACCCACCCCCACCCCCCCGGCCACTCGCACGGGCTTCCGGCACCACCCTAGGCTGCGCGGGATTCAATTCTGGAGGGGCAGGTGCCACCTCTGGTTCCGCCCCGGCCCAGGTTCCTCCACTAGGACGAAACCCGGGACAGTACCCACCCCTCAACCAGCACCACCCTCCACTCGGGGACTGCAGCAATGGCCTGCGGGGAGTGGTTTGGCTTGGGATGGCCTTGCAGGTGTGTTTGGTTGCCTTATAGTTTTTCGAAATTTAATGGGATAGGGAGGAAGATTCAGGGCAGCGATGGCTCAGGACCTTAGGTGGCAGTCGAATCTCAGTCCCCACCCACCAGGTGCCGCTTTACCTCGGTTCTTTTCCCAGCCTCTGGTCTTGTCCTTTCGGCAGGTGAAACACGGAAGCCAAGCTCTGTGGCAGCCTGGGGCTGATGTGTCCCCGCCTCTGAAGTCAGTATGGCTCAGAATCCTGGTCTCTTTGCGCCCCGGAGGAGTTCACTGACCTCAAACTCAGAGGACATATTTCACTAGAGAAGCCACAACTGTACTAGTCAAATGGAAACTGCCCTTGTGGAAAGGGCGGCTTGAGACAGGAAGGCTCAGTTAGAAAGAGAGGCTCACCTGTAGAGTACTTTCAAGGGAGTAGAAAGTGACCGACTGAGTGTTGGGGCTATTTCTTTTATGATGCACCCTTAAAGTGGGCCTCAGGAGACCCAGACAGGCCTAAGAAGAAACAAGGGCAGGCAGTTTGCTGGAGAGGAAATGGGTTGAAAGCTGGACTCTGTCACCAATCTGTGTGTGGCTTTACAACTGTGAATGAGATATTTTCAGCGAGTAGTTCTCTTAAGTGTGGTCGTCAGAACAGCACCATCAGCATCTAACTTTAAGATATGCAGATTCCCTCCCCTCCATCCCCACTCCCTTGTAGTTGCCTGTCAGCCTTGGTCCTCAGGCTTCTCCCTCTTAAATGCTGGGATTACAGACTGCAATGCCCAGTTAAGGAATGCAAATTATTGAAAGACAGTCCCAGGCCTATCTAATCAAGTTCTCAAATCTAGCAAGTTCCCACAAGGTACTGTTGCTCTGATCCAGGGACCACACATGGACAACCATTGTACTAGGGTAACTGGCCTCAGGTTCATGGAATCACCTAAGATTAGCGGAACAAAATGACATTGCCCACCATGGATCTGCAGAACACGTGAAAACACCCGGGTTTGGAACCTAAAAGGCTCTTTTTAAAGTTTTGCAGGTGATTTCCAATGTGTGGCCAGGTTTGCTAATACTCCTTGTAGCTGTGATGTAGGAATCATCTAGGAATCTTGTTGAAATGCAGATTCGGAGGTGATGTGTTTTGGCTGGTCCAGGGTCTACATTGAGCAATAATATGCTGTTATAAGTCACAACTAAACCAAAAAATAGTAGATATTACCAAAAAAGAAAGATGACATTTCTCCAGTAACCCTTATTGAAAGATCAATATTTTCTACATGTTGCATTGGTCAACCTTTTCGTATGTCTGGGATATGGTTGGTTTGGTTTTTCTCTTAGATTTGTATGGTCATAATCTGAACATAGTATCTCATGCTGCTTTGGGTTTTTTACATTTATTTATTATTTATTTATTCATTTATTGTGTGGTATGCATGCCATGGTGTATGTGTGTAGAAGTCAGAAGACAACTTGTGGGAGTCATTTCCCCTTCCACTATATGGGTTCCAAGGATCAGACTCAAGTCATCAGACATAAGGGTGCTTGGTGGCAAGCACCCTTACCTGCTGAGCCATCTCATGGGCACCTCTCATGCTGTTTTGTCTTCTCAGTATTACTAACAATATTCTATATTGGTGGCTTTTATCGGGTGCAGTCTGAGCAGGCCAGAAGGCTGGGGGGTAGAAGCCCTTGAGGAGGGTTAAGATGGGAGAAGAGCAGGAGGGCTAAAAAGGGATAAGGTGGTCCCGGAGAAGTCCCGTGGTATAGAATGCCGTTTTTATTTTTATTTTTATTGTTTTGGTTTTTTTGAAGCAGGGTCTTTTTGTAACCCCAGCTGGCCTGGAACTCACTATGTAGAGCAGACTGGCCTCAAACTCACAGAGATCCACCTGCCTCCCGAGTGCTGGGATTAAAGGCCTGTGCCACCATCCCTGGCTTAGAATGCCCTTTTTAGATTGCTCTTCATGAAAAGCTAGCTACTTGGCCTGGAAATGCTACAACTTCAAATATTAAGCCCTGAAAAACTGAGGTGTTTCTTGTCACTTCGGATGCCCTATGCTGTGGCATGAAGCTGTTTAGTCACGTTTTAAACTCTGCCTTTTATCAATTCTAACGTCTAATTATTTTTCAAATGCATTTTTATTGTTTTTGTGTATTGTACATAATAGAGCTTAATTAAATTTAGACCCTCTTCTCCACCTTCCCCCCCCACTGGATTTCATGTATTCTGTCATATATGTTGTTCTTTTTGGTCAAGCGTTTGTACCCAGATGTCCTTCCGTGAAAGTTCATCCACTGGAATCTAATCAGCCTATCTAGAGATCTTAAAGGAGATCTACTCTCCCTCACCCAGTAATGAGAAGAACCGGATGTGATGGTTTGTGCCTGTAATTCTAGTAGTTAGGCAGCTGAAGCAGGAATATGGTGTTATGTGATACATTTTCCCCAGGAAGTCACAAAACATTTGCCTGCTCCCCCCAGATAGGGAACCCATGACAGACCAAAATAACTATTGCACCAAAATCCAATTTGGTGAACCAATGAGTTTTTCCTGGGGTTTCTAACAGGAATATGGGTGAGGGTTTACTTAGAGGAATGGGGATAGCTCAAAAGCAGCTGCACCACCCAAAAGCCCTCCCCAACATAGCTGTCTGCACAACTTGGAGGCAGCTGGACAGGTCTAAGAAGCTTCTCTCAACAACTGGGTTGCTCAGTCTCTTCCAGCCTTTGTTTTCTGCTTCTATATGCCAGGGGAGGGATCCTCCTCAGTCCTGCAAGTTTCAGCTTTTCCAGACCTCTGAAGTCTGTTTTCTTCCTGAGTCTCATGAACCTCCTCCTATTCCTCCTGGTGGGAGCTGTACAACAAATAATGGGAAGTTCAAGACCAGCCTGAACTTCATAGTGATACCCTGTCTCAAAAAGCACACATACCAGACTGAAGAGATGGTGTAGCAGTTAAGAGTGAATACTGTGCTTGCCGAGGACTTGAGTTTGGTTCCCAGGACCCATGTTTGTGGCTCACAACCATTTGTAACTCCAGCTCCAGGAGATTTGATGCTCTCTTCTACCTGTATGGGCACACATATGCACCTTTTTTTTTTTAAGACGTGGAAAAAAACAAAAAAAAAAACCAGCTGAGCATGGTGACTTATTCCTTTCATCTCAGCACTAGAAAGGCAGAGGCAGGCAGATCTCTGTGAGTTCTAGACTAGCCTGGTCTACATAGGGAGTTTCAGGCCAGCCAGGGCTACAGAGTGAGACTGTCTCAAAAACCAAAAACAAAACAAAGAAACCACACACAAGATTGTAAAACAAATGTGCGTGTACATGGCAAAATTGAAAATGAAACAGGGCAGAAAGGTACTAAGCAAAATATAAATGTAAGGATTCTGTCCCTGAACCCTGAATTGCTTCTCAGAGATAACAAATACAACGGCAATCATACACTTTGTAACCTAACCACAGGGTTGACCTCTCCTCACTTTCTTCTTTGCAGTAGCAGTGACTCACTGCGACCTGGTCACCAAGGGTATCCTCAGAATACGAGTATCAGGAATGAATCAGAACTGCCCTCTACAACTGCTTCTGGCAGACACTCTTCCCTGCCTAGGGACTGGCTGCAGGCTCCCTAGGGTACTTACAGTGTTCATTATCCATGCAAGGAACAGTATAACCCCTAACCCAGATTCCCCCTGACCAAAGAACCAGCAGTGTTTGTCAGAGAGTAGGTGGTAAGCATGGGGGAAGTAGTTTCTTCTCATATGAGTGACACATGAACTCTTAGCAAAGATTTGTGCACACACACTTTTATGCAAGAGTAGGAAATTTCAGAAAGTCTGAAACCTGGGGGCAGGAGAGATAGCTCAGCGGTTAAGAGTATGTTCTGTTCTTCCAGAGGACCCGAGTTTGGTTCCTAGCACCCATGTGCTAGGGCAGATCACAACAACTGCCTGGAAGCCCAGCTCCCAGGACTCCCATGGCCTCTTTCTTGTTGCTGT